ATGGGGATGGAGGTGGTACCCATGGAGACATAGGGATGGAGGTGGTAACCATGGAGACATAGGGATGCTGGGATGGGGATGCAGGTGGTACCCATGGAGACATAGGGATGCTGGGATAGGGATGCAGGTGGTACCCATGGAGACATAGGGATGGAGGTGGTAACCATGGAGACATAGGGATGCTGGGATGGGGATGCAGGTGGTACCCATGGAGACATAGGGATGCTGGGATGGGGATGCAGGTGGTACCCATGGAGACATAGGGATGCTGGGATGGGGATGCAGGTGGTACCCATGGAGACATAGGGATGCTGGGATAGGGATGCAGGTGGTACCCATGGAGACATAGGAATGCTGGGATAGGGATGCAGGTGGTACCCATGGAGCTATGGGGATGGAGGTGGTAACCATGGAGACATAGGGATGTTGGGATGGGGATGCAGGTGGTACCCATGGAGACATAGGGATGCTGGGATAGGGATGCAGGTGGTACCCATGGAGACATAGGGATGCTGGGATGGGGATGCAGGTGGTACCCATGGAGACATAGGGATGCTGGGATGGGGATGCAGGTGGTACCCATGGAGACATAGGGATGCTGGGATAGGGATGCAGGTGGTACCCATGGAGACATAGGGATGTTGGGATGGGGATGGAGGTGGTACCCATGGAGACATAGGGATGCTGGGATGGGGATGCAGGTGGTACCCATGGAGACATAGGGATGGAGGTGGTAACCATGGAGACATAGGGATGCTGAGATGGGGATGGAGGTGGTACCCATGGAGACATAGGGATGTTGGGATGGGGATGCAGGTGGTACCCATGGAGACATAGGGATGCCGGGATAGGGATGTGCCCCCCGCCTATGGGGCTCAGCCCCCCATCTATGGGGCAGCACCTGGATCCCTCCCCATAGACAGCCATGGCAGGATCCTTGTGTGTGTGTGGAAGGGGGAATTCTTGGCACCCAGATGGGAATCGCTCCCGGAAAACCGGGATCCAAAGGCAGGATTCCAAAGGCCGGGAATGGGCCCGTTCCCTTGGGAATGGGGATGGGGATGAACAAAGGAAAGGGGGGGGGGGGATGGTTTCCAGATGGGATATTCCCTATCATTCCCTGTTATTCCCTCTCCATTCCCTCCTCATTCCCTGTTATTCCCTTTCCATTCCCGCTTTATTCCCTCTCTATTCCCTGTTATTCCCCCTCTATCATTCCCTGTTATTCCATCCTCATTCCCTGTTATTCCCTGTTTATTCCCTCTCTCATTCCCTGTTTATTCCCTTTCCATTCCCTGTTTATTCCCCACTCATTCCCTGTGTTATTCCCTCTTTATTCCCTGTTATTCCCTCTATCATTCCCTGTTTATTCCCACTCCATTCCCTGTTATTCCCCCTTTATTCCCTCTTTATTCACTCTCTATTCCCTATTCCCTTTATTCCCACTTCATTCCCATCCTTTATTCCCCATAGCCCCATAGATGGGAGCATCCCTGCCCCATAGCCCCATAGATGGGAGCATCCCTGCCCCATAGCCCCATAGACGGAAGCATCCCTGCCCCATAGCCCCATAGATGGGAGCATCCCTGCCCCATAGTCCACCATAGATGGAAGCATCCCTGCCCCATAGATGGGAGCATCCCTGCCCCATAGCCCCATAGATGGGAGCATCCCTGCCCCATAGCCCCATAGATGGGAGCATCCCTGCCCCATAGCCCCATAGATGGCAGCATCCCTGCCCCATAGCCCCATAGATGGGAGCATCCCTGCCCCATAGCCCCATAGATGGCAGCATCCCTGCCCCATAGCCCCATAGATGGGAGCAAACCTGCCCCATAGCCCCATAGATAGCAGCATCCCGTCCCCATAGCCCCATGGATGGGTCCCTGCCCCATAGCCCCATAGATGGGAGCATCCCTGCCCCATAGCCCCATAGATGGGATCCTCCCTGCCCCATAGCCCCATAGATGGGAGCATCCCTGCCCCATAGCCCCATAGATGGCAGCATCCCTGCCCCATAGGCCCATAGATGGGAGCATCCCTACCCCATAGCCCCATAGATGGGAGCATCCCTGCCCCATAGCCCCATAGATGGGAGCATCCCTGCCCCATAGATGGGAGCATCCCTGCCCCATAGCCCCATAGATGGCAGCATCCCTGCCCCATAGCCCCATAGACGGGAGCATCCCTGCCCCATAGCCCCATAGATGGGAGCATCCCTGCCCCATAGATGGCAGCATCCCTGCCCCATAGATGGGAGCATCCCTGCCCCATAGCCCCATAGATGGGAGCATCCCTGCCCCATAGCCCCATAGATGGGAGCATTCCTGCCCCATAGCCCCCATAGATGGGAGCATCCCTGCCCCATAGCCCCATAGATTGGAGCATCCCTGCCCCATAGCCCCATAGATGGGAGCATCCCTGCCCCATAGCCCCATAGATGGGAGCATCCGTGCCCCATAGCCCCATAGATGGGAGCATCCCTGCCCCATAGCCCCATAGATGGGAGCATCCCTGCCCCATAGCCCCATAGATGGCAGCATCCCTGCCCCATAGATGGGAGCATCCCTGCCCCATAGATTCCATAGATGGGAGCATCCCTGCCCCATAGCCCCATAGATGAGAGCATCCCTGCCCCATAGCCCCATAGATGGGAGCATCCCTGCCCCATAGCCCCATAGATGGGAGCATCCCTGCCCCATAGCCCCATAGATGGGAGCATCCCTGCCCCATAGCCCCATAGATGGGAGCATCCCTGCCCCATAGCCCCATAGATGGGAGCATCCCCGCCCCATAGCCCCATAGATGGGAGCATCCCTGCCCCATAGATGGGAGCATCCCTGCCCCATAGCCCCATAGATGGGAACATCCCTGCCCCATAGCCCCATAGATGGGAGCATCCCCGCCCCATAGCCCCATAGATGGGAGCATCCCTGCCCCATAGCCCCATAGATTGGAGCATCCCTGCCCCATAGCCCCATAGATTGGAGCATCCCTGCCCCATAGATTCCATAGATGGCAGCATCCCTGCCCCATAGATTCCATAGATGGCAGCATCCCTGCCCCATAGATGGGAGCATCTGTGCCCCATAGCCCCATAGATGGCAGCATCCCTGCCCCATAGCCCCATAGATGGGAGCATCCCTGCCCCATAGCCCCATCGATGGCAGCATCCCTGCCCCATAGCCCCATAGATGGGAGCATCCCTGCCCCATAGATGGGCGCATCCCTGCCCCATAGCCCCATAGATGGGAGCATCCCTGCCCCATAGATGGGAGCATCCCTGCCCCATAGCCCCATAGATGGGAGCATCCCTGCCCCATAGCCCCATAGGTGGGAGCATCCCTGCCCCATAGCCCCATAGATGGGAGCATCCCTGCCCCATAGCCCCATAGATGGGTCCCTGCCCCATAGATGGCAGCATCCCTGCCCCATAGCCCCATAGATGGGAGCATCCCTGCCCCATAGCCCCATAGATGGAAGCATCCCTGCCCCATAGCCCCATATATGGGAGCATCCCTGCCCCATAGATTCCATAGATGGGAGCATCTCTGCCCCATAGCCCCATAGATGGGAGCATCCCTGCCCCATAGATGGGAGCATCCCTGCCCCATAGCCCCATAGATGGGAGCATCCCTGCCCCATAGCCCCATAGATGGGAGCATCCCTGCCCCATAGACCCCATAGATGGGTCCCTGCCCCATAGATGGGAGCATCCCTGCCCCATAGCCCCATAGATGGCAGCATCCCTGCCCCATAGCCCCATAGGTGGGAGCATCCCTGCCCCATAGATTCCATAGATGGCAGCATCCCTGCCCCATAGATTCCATAGATGGCAGCATCCCTGCCCCATAGCGCCATAGATGGGAGCATCCCTGCCCCATAGCCCCATAGATGGGAGCATCCCTGCCCCATAGCCCCACAGATGGGAGCATCCCTACCCCATAGCCCCATAGATGGGAGCATCCCTGCCCCATAGATTGCAGTATCCCTGCCCCATAGCCCCTTAGACGGGAGCATCCCTGCCCCATAGCACCATAGATGGGAACAGCCCTGCCCCATAGATGGGAGCATCCCTGCCCCATAGATGGGAGCATCCCTGCCCCATAGCCCCATAGATGGGAGCATCCCTGCCCCATTGACCCATAGATGGGAGCATCCCTGCCCCATAGATGGGAGCATCCCTGCCCCATAGCCCCATAGATGGGAGCATCCCTGCCCCATAGCCCCATAGATGGGAGCATCCCTGCCCCATAGCCCCATAGATGGGAGCATCCCTGCCCCATAGCCCCATAGATGGGAGCATCCCTGCCCCATAGCCCCATAGATGGGAGCATCCCTGCCCCATAGATGGGAGCATCCCTGCCCCATAGATGGGTCCCTGCCCCATAGCCCCATAGATGGGAGCATCCCTGCCCCATAGCCCCATAGATGGGAGCATCCCTGCCCCATAGCCCCATAGATGGCAGCATCCCAGCCCCATAGCCCCCATAGATGGGAGCATCCCTGCCCCATAGCCCCATAGATGGGAGCATCCCTGCCCCATAGCCCCATAGATGGCAGCATCCCTGCCCCATAGCCCCATAGATGGGAGCATCCCTGCCCCATAGCCCCATAGATGGCAGCATCCCTGCCCCATAGCCCCATAGATGGGAGCATCCCTGCCCCATAGCCCCATAGATGGCAGCATCCCTGCCCCATAGCCCCATAGACGGGAGCATCCCTGCCCCATAGCCCCATAGATGGGAGCATCCCTGCCCCATAGCCCCATAGATGAGAGCATCCCTGCCCCATAGCCCCATAGATGGGAGCATCCCTGCCCCATAGCCCCATAGACGGAAGCATCCCTGCCCCATAGCCCCATAGATGGGAGCATCCCTGCCCCATAGATGGGAGCATCCCTGCCCCATAGCCCCATAGATGGGAGCATCCCTGCCCCATAGCGCCTTTTCCTTGCAGGTGCCATCCCATCGGGAAGACGGCGTCGGGATGCGGGGGGCCCCCTCGCTGGTCCCCAACCCCTCGGCCCCATCGCCGGAGCTGAACCCCCCCCAGGATCCCTATAGGGGTGAGTGGGACCCCTATGGGATGGAGGGGTGGGAAGGGGCATCCCATAGAGCATCCCATAGAGCATCCCATAGAGCATCCCATAGAGCATCCCATAGAGCATCCCATAGGGCATCCCATAGGGCATCCCATAGAGCATCCCATAGAGCATCCCATAGAGCATCCCATAGAGCATCCCATAGGGCATCCCATAGAGCATCCCATAGAGCATCCCATAGAGCACCCCATAGAGCTTCCCATGGAGCATCCCATAGAGCATCCCATAGGGCATCCCATAGAGCATCCCATAGAGCATCCCATAGAGCATCCCATAGAGCTTCCCATGGAGCATCCCATAGAGCATCCCATAGGGCATCCCATAGAGCATCCCATAGAGCATCCCATAGAGCATCCCATAGAGCTTCCCATGGAGCATCCCATAGGGCATCCCATAGAGCATCCCATAGAGCATCCCATAGAGCATCCCATAGGGCATCCCATAGAGCATCCCATAGAGCATCCCGTAGAGCATCCCATAGTGCATCCCATAGAGCATCCCATAGAGCATCCCATAGAGCATCCCATCATAGAGCATCCCATAGAGCATCCCATAGAGCATCCCATAGAGCATCCCATAGAGCATCCCATCATAGAGCATCCCATAGAGCATCCCATAGAGCATCCCATAGAGCATCCCATAGAGCATCCCATAGAGCATCCCATGGAGCATCCCATGGAGCATCCCTTAGGGCATCCCATAGAGCATCCCATAGGGCATCCCATAGAGCATCCCATAGAGCATCCCATAGGGCATCCCATAGAGCATCCCATAGGGCATCCCATAGAGCATCCCATAGAGCATCCCATAGAGCATCCCATAGAGCATCCCATAGAGCATCCCATAGAGCATCCCATAGAGCAACCCATAGAGCATCCCATAGAGCATCCCATAGGGCATCCCATAGAGCATCCCATAGGGCATCCCATAGAGCATCCCATAGAGCATCCCTTAGGGCATCCCATAGGGCATCCCATAGAGCATCCCATAGAGCATCCCATAGGGCATCCCATAGAGCATCCCATAGGGCATCCCATAGGGCATCCCATAGAGCATCCCATGGAGCATCCCATAGAGCATCCCATAGAGCATCCCATAGAGCATCCCATGGAGCATCCCATAACGCATCCCATAACGCATCCCATAGAGCATCCCATAGGGCATCCCATAGAGCATCCCATAGAGCATCCCATAGAGCATCCCATGGAGCATCCCATAGAGCATCCCGTGGAGCATCCCATAGAGCATCCCATAGAGCATCCCTTAGGGCATCCCATAGGGCATCCCATAGAGCATCCCATAGAGCATCCCATAGGGCATCCCATAGAGCATCCCATGGAGCATCCCATAGAGCATCCCATAGAGCATCCCATAGGGCATCCCATAGGGCATCCCATAGAGCATCCATAGAGCATCCCATAGGGCATCCCATAGAGCATCCCATAGGGCATCCCGTGGAGCATCCCATAGGGCATCCCATAGAGCATCCCATAGAGCATCCCATGGAGCATCCCATAGAGCATCCCATGGAGCATCCCATAGAGCATCCCATAGAGCATCCCATAGGGCATCCCATAGGGCATCCCATAGAGCATCCCATAGAGCATCCCATAGGGCATCCCATAGAGCATCCCATAGGGCATCCCGTGGAGCATCCCATAGGGCATCCCATAGAGCATCCCATAGAGCATCCCATGGAGCATCCCATAGAGCATCCCATAGAGCATCCCATGGAGCATCCCATAGAGCATCCCATAGAGCATCCCATAGGGCATCCCATAGAGCATCCCATGGAGCATCCCATAGAGCATCCCATAGAGCATCCCATAGGGCATCCCATAGGGCATCCCATAGAGCATCCCATAGAGCATCCCATAGGGCTTCCCTTTGGGCATCCCATAGAGCATCCCATGGCGCACCCCATAGAGCATCCCATAGAGCATCCCATAGGGCATCCCTTAGGGCATCCCATAGAGCATCCCATAGAGCATCCCATGGAGCATCCCATAGAGCATCCCGTGGAGCATCCCATAGGGCATCCCATAGGGCATCCCATAGAGCATCCCTTAGAGCATCCCATAGAGCATCCCATAGGGCGTCCCATAGGGCATCCATAGAGCATCCCATAGAGCGTCCCATGGAGCATCCCATAGGGCATCCCATAGAGCATCCCATAGAGCATCCCATGGAGCATCCCATAGAGCATCCCGTGGAGCATCCCATAGGGCATCCCATAGAGCATCCCATAGAGCATCCCATAGAGCATCCCATAGAGCATCCCATGGAGCATCCCATAGAGCATCCCATAGAGCATCCCATAGAGCATCCCGTGGAGCATCCCATAGAGCATCCCGTGGAGCATCCCATAGAGCATCCCATAGAGCATCCCATAGAGCATCCCTTAGGGCATCCCATAGGGCATCCCATAGAGCATCCCATAGAGCATCCCTTAGGGCATCCCATAGGGCATCCCATAGAGCATCCCATAGAGCATCCCATAGGGCATCCCATAGAGCATCCCATAGGGCATCCCATAGGGCATCCCATAGAGCTCCATAGAGCATCCCATAGAGCATCCCATAGAGCATCCCGTGGAGCATCCCATAGGGCATCCCATAGAGCATCCCATGGAGCATCCCATAGAGCATCCCGTGGAGCATCCCATAGAGCATCCCATAGAGCATCCCATAGAGCATCCCATAGAGCATCCCATGGAGCATCCCATACAGCATCCCGTGGAGCATCCCATAGAGCATCCCATAGAGCATCCCATAGAGCATCCCTTAGGGCATCCCATAGGGCATCCCATAGAGCATCCCATAGAGCATCCCTTAGGGCATCCCATAGGGCATCCCATAGAGCATCCCATAGAGCATCCCATAGAGCATCCCATAGAGCATCCCATAGGGCATCCCATAGAGCATCCCATAGGGCATCCCATAGGGCATCCCATAGAGCATCCCATAGAGCATCCCATAGGGCATCCCATAGAGCATCCCATGGAGCATCCCATAGAGCATCCCATAGAGCATCCCATAGGGCATCCCATAGGGCATCCCATAGAGCATCCCATAGAGCATCCCATAGGGCATCCCATAGAGCATCCCATAGGGCATCCCATAGAGCATCCCATAGGGCATCCCGTGGAGCATCCCATAGGGCATCCCATAGTGCATCCCATAGAGCATCCCATAGAGCATCCCATAGAGCATCCCATTGAGCATCCCATAGAGCATCCCATAGAGCATCCCATAGGGCTTCCCTTTGGGCATCCCATAGAGCATCCCATGGCGCACCCCATAGAGCATCCCATAGAGCATCCCATGGAGCATCCCATAGAGCATCCCGTGGAGCATCCCATAGGGCATCCCATAGGGCATCCCATAGGGCATCCCGTGGAGCATCCCATAGGGCATCCCATAGTGCATCCCATAGAGCATCCCATAGAGCATCCCATAGAGCATCCCATAGAGCATCCCATGGAGCATCCCATAGAGCATCCCGTGGAGCATCCCATAGAGCATCCCATAGAGCATCCCATAGAGCATCCCTTAGGGCATCCCATAGGGCATCCCATAGAGCATCCCATAGAGCATCCCATAGAGCATCCCATAGAGCATCCCCTAGGGCATCCCATAGAGCATCCCATAGGGCATCCCATAGGGCATCCCATAGAGCATCCCATAGAGCATCCCATAGAGCATCCCATGGAGCATCCCATAGAGCATCCCATAGGGCATCCCATAGAGCATCCCATAGGGCATCCCATAGAGCATCCCATAGGGCATCCCATAGGGCATCCCATAGAGCATCCCATAGAGCATCCCATAGGGCATCCCATAGAGCATCCCATAGAGCATCCCATAGAGCATCCCAATTTAGAGCATTCCCATTTCCAGCATCCCAATTTAGAGCATCCCATCCTGAGAGCATCCCATTCTGGACCATCCCATCCTAGAGCATCCCATCCTTCAAGCATCCCAATTTGGACCATCCCAATTTATCCCATCCCAATTTATCCCATCCCAATGGAGCATCCCAATTTATCCTATCCCAATTTATCCCATCCCACTGGAGCATCCCAATTCAGAGCATCCCAATTTATCCCATCCCAATTTATCCCAATCCCAATGGAGCATCCCAATTTATCCCAATCCCACTGGAGCATCCCAATTTATCCCATCCCAATGTATCCCATCCCAATTTATCCCAATCCCAATGGAGCATCCCAATTTTTCCCATCCCAATTTATCCCATCCCACTGGAGCATCCCAATTTATCCCATCCCAATTTAGAGCATCCCAATTTAGAGCATCCCAATTTATCCCATCCCAATGGAGCTTCCCAATTTATCCCATCCCAATTTGGACCAGCCCATTATCAAGCATCCCAATATCCCATCCCAATTTATCCCATCCCAATTTATCCCAATCCCAATTTATCCCATCCCAATTTATCCCAATCCCAATGGAACATCCCAATTTATCCCATCCCAATTTGGACCATCCCATTATCAAGCATCCCAATTTATCCCATCCCAATTTATCCCAATCCCAATGGAGCATCCCAATTTATCCCATCCCCATTTCCAGCATCCCATTATCGAGCATCCCAATTTAGAGCATCCCAATTTATCCCATCCCAATTTATCCCATCCCAATTTATCCCATCCCAATGGAGCATCCCAATTTATCCCATCCCAATGGAGCATCCCAATTTATCCCATCCCAATTTATCCCAATCCCACTGGAGCATCCCAATTTATGCCATCCCATTATCAAGCATCCCAATTTATCCCATCCCAATTTGGACCATCCCATTATCAAGCATCCCAATTTATCCCATCCCAATTTATCCCATCCCACTGGAGCTTCCCAATTTATCCCATCCCAATTTATCCCATCCCACTGGAGCTTCCCAATTTATCCCATCCCAATTTATCCCATCCCACTGGAGCATCCCAATTTATCCCATCCCAATTTATCCCATCCCAATTTATCCCATCCCAATGGAGCATCCCAATTTATCCCATCCCAATTTATCCCATCCCACTGGAGCTTCCCAATTTATCCCATCCCAATTTATCCCATCCCACTGGAGCATCCCAATTTATCCCATCCCAATTTGGACCATCCCATTATCGAGCATCCCAATTTATCCCATCCCAATTTATCCCATCCCAATTTATCCCATCCCAATGGAGCATCCCAATTTATCCCATCCCAATTTATCCCATCCCAATGGAGCATCCCAATTTATCCCATCCCAATTTATCCCATCCCACTGGAGCTTCCCAATTTATCCCATCCCAATTTATCCCATCCCACTGGAGCATCCCAATTTATCCCATCCCAATTTGGACCATCCCATTATCGAGCATCCCAATTTATCCCATCCCAATGGACCATCCCAATTTATCCCATCCCAATTTAGAGCATCCCAATTTATCCCATCCCAATGGAGCTTCCCAATTTATCCCATCCCAATTTGGACCAGCCCATTATCGGGCATCCCAATTTAGAGCATCCCAATTTGGACCATCCCATCCCAATGAAGCATCCCAATTTATCCCATCCCAATTTATCCCAATCCCACTGGTGCATCCCAATTTATCCCATCCCAATTTGGACCAGCCCATTATCGAGCATCCCAATTTAGAGCATCCCAATTTATCCCATCCCAATTTATCCCATCCCAATTTATCCCAATCCCAATGGAGCATCCCAATTTATCCCATCCCAATTTATCCCAATCCCACTGGAGCATCCCAATTTATGCCATCCCAATTTGGACCATCCCAATTTATCCCAATCCCAATGGAGCATCCCAATTTATCCCATCCCATTTTCAAGCATCCCAATTTATCCCATCCCAATTTATCCCATCCCAATGGAGCATCCCAATTTATCCCATCCCAATTTATCCCAATCCCAATGGAGCATCCCAATTTATCCCATCCCAATTTATCCCATCCCAATGGAGCATCCCAATTTATCCCATCCCAATTTATCCCAATCCCACTGGAGCATCCCAATTTATGCCATCCCAATTTGGACCATCCCAATTTATCCCAATCCCAATGGAGCATCCCAATTTATCCCATCCCATTTTCAAGCATCCCAATTTATCCCATCCCAATTTATCCCATCCCAATCCCAATTTATCCCAATCCCAATCCCTTTTTCCCCCCCTCCAGCCCTCCCCGGCGGCCTCCAAGCCCCCAGCGTCTCCTCGGCCAGCTCGGAGCTCAAATCCGATGAGGAAGGCGACGAGAACGCCCGCGATTCCCAACCTCTGGAAGAGCGCAAGCTGGACGACGACAAGAAGGAGCTCAAAGCCCTGCCGAGGTCAAGATCTAGGTAACGGGAATGTCGGGAAAAGGGGGGGGGGGGAGAACCGGGAATTCCATAGGGATCATCCCGTTGCGTTCCCTGGATCCCGCTTTGGGGTTGTCGCTTGTTTTGGGAGCAAAGGATGCGGGAGGTTTGGGTACCAAAGGATGAGGGAGGTTTGGGTACCAAAGGATGCGGGAGGTTTGGGTACCAAAGGATGCGGGAGGTTTGGGTACCAAAGGATGCAGGAGGTTTGGGTACCAAAGGATGCAGGAGGTTTGGGTACCAAAGGATGCGGGAGGTTTGGGTACCAAAGGATGCGGGAGGTTTGGGTACCAAAGGATGCAGGAGGTTTGGGTACCAAAGGATGCAGGAGGTTTGGGTACCAAAGGATGCGGGAGGTTTGGGTACCAAAGGATGCGGGAGGTTTGGGTACCAAAGGATGCGGGAGGTTTGGGTACCAAAGGATGCGGGAGGTTTGGGTACCAAAGGATGCAGGAGGTTTGGGTACCAAAGGATGCAGGATGTTTGGGGAGCAAAGGATGCGGGAGGTTTGGGTACCAAAGGATGCGGGAGGTTTGGGTACCAAAGGATGCAGGAGGTTTGGGTACCAAAGGATGCAGGAGGTTTGGGTACCAAAGGATGCAGGAGGTTTGGGTACCAAAGGATGCGGGAGGTTTGGGTACCAAAGGATACGGGAGGTTTGGGTACCAAAGGATGCGGGAGGTTTGGGTACCAAAGGATGGAGAAGGTTTGGGTACCAAAGGATGCAGGAGGTTTGGGTACCAAAGGATGCGGGAGGTTTGGGTACCAAAGGATGCGGGAGGTTTGGGTACCAAAGGATGCGGGAGGTTTGGGTACCAAAGGATGGAGAAGGTTTGGGGAGCAAAGGATGCAGGAGGTTTGGGTACCAAAGGATGCAGGAGGTTTGGGTACCAAAGGATGCAGGAGGTTTGGGGAGCCAAAGGATGCAGGAGGTTTGGGTACCAAAGGATGCAGGAGGTTTGGGTACCAAAGGATGCGGGAGGTTTGGGTACCAAAGGATGCGGGAGGTTTGGGTACCAAAGGATGCAGGAGGTTTGGGTACCAAAGGATGCGGGAGGTTTGGGTACCAAAGGATGCGGGAGGTTTGGGTACCAAAGGATGCAGGAGGTTTGGGTACCAAAGGATGCAGGAGGTTTGGGTACCAAAGGATGCGGGAGGTTTGGGTACCAAAGGATGCAGGAGGTTTGGGTACCAAAGGATGCAGGAGTTTTCGGTACCAAAGGATGCGGGATGTTTGGGGAGCAAAGGATGCAGGAGGTTTGGGTACCAAAGGATGCAGGAGGTTTGGGTACCAAAGGATGCGGGAGGTTTGGGTACCAAAGGATGCAGGAGGTTTGGGTACCAAAGGATGCGGGAGGTTTGGGTACCAAAGGATGCAGGAGGTTTGGGTACCAAAGGATGCAGGAGGTTTGGGTACCAAAGGATGCAGGAGGTTTGGGTACCAAAGGATGCAGGAGGTTTGGGTACCAAAGGATGCGGGAGATTGGGGTACCAAAGGATGCAGGAGGTTTGGGTACCGAAGGATGCGGGAGGTTGGGTGCCAAAGGATGCGGGAGGTTTGGGTACCAAAGGATGCAGGAGGTTTGGGTACCAAAGGATGCAGGAGGTTTGGGTACCAAAGGATGCAGGAGGTTTGGGTACCAAAGGATGGCAGGAGGTTTGGGTACCAAAGGATGCGGGAGATTGGGGTACCAAAGGATGCGGGAGATTGGGGTACCAAAGGATGCAGGAGGTTTGGGTACCGAAGGATGCGGGAGGTTTGGGTACCAAAGGATGCGGGAGGTTGGGTGCCAAAGGATGCGGGAGGTTTGGGTACCAAAGGATGCGGGAGGTTGGGGTACCCAAGGATGGAGAAGGTTTGGGGAGCAAAGGATGCGGGAGGTTGGGGTACCAAAGGATGCAGGAGGTTTGGGTACCAAAGGATGCAGGAGGTTTGGGTACCAAAGGATGCGGGAGGTTTGGGTACCAAAGGATGCGGGAGGTTTGGGTACCAAAGGATGCGGGAGGTTTGGGTGCCAAAGGATGCGGGAGGTTTGGGTACCAAAGGATGCGGGAGGTTTGGGTACCAAGGATGGAGAAGGTTTGGGGGAGCAAAGGAGCGGGAGGTTGGGGTACCAAAGGATGCAGGAGGTTTGGGTACCAAAGGATGCAGGAGGTTTGGGTACCAAAGGATGCAGGAGGTTTGGGTACCAAAGGATGCGGGAGGTTTGGGTACCAAAGGATGCGGGAGGTTTGGGTACCAAAGGATGCAGGAGGTTTGGGTACCAAAGGATGCGGGAGGTTTGGGGACCAAAGGATGCAGGAGGTTTGGGTACCAAAGGATGCGGGAGGTTTGGGTACCAAAGGATGCGGGAGGTTTGGGTACCAAAGGATGCAGGAGGTTTGGGTACCAAAGGATGGAGAAGGTTTGGGTACCAAAGGATGCAGGAGGTTTGGGGAGCAAAGGATGCGGGAGGTTTGGGTGCCAAAGGATGCAGGAGGTTTGGGTACCAAAGGATGCAGGAGGTTTGGGTACCAAAGGATGCAGGAGGTTTGGGTACCAAAGGATGCAGGACGTTTGGGGAGCAAAGGATGCAGGACGTTTGGGTACCAAAGGATGCGGGAGGTTTGGGGAGCAAAGGATGCTGGATCCCATCCATCCCTGACTTCCCTGATGTTCCAAAGGCCAGGCCATTCCCAACGTTGGGAATATCCTAGTTTTTAGGACAATGGGTCCTTGCTCTATGGGGCAGGAGAATGGGGTCCATGGGTGATGCCCCATTCCCAATGGGATCCTTGCTCTATGGGGCAGGAGAATGGGGTCCATGGGTGATGCCCCATTCCCAATGGGTTCCTCTCTCCATGGAGACCCTTGAATGGAGTCAATGGAAGATGCCCCATTCCCAATGGGTTCCTCTCTCCATGGAGACCCTTGAATGGAGTCAATGGAAGATGCCCCTTTCCCAATGGGTTCCTCTCTCCATGGAGCCCCTTGAATGGGGTCAATGGAAGATGCCCCATTCCCAATGGGTTCCTCTCTCCATGGAGCCCCTTGAATGGAGTCAATGGAAGATGCCCCATTCCCAATGGGTTCCTCTCTCCATGGAGCCCCTTGAATGGAGTCAATGGAAGTTGCCCCATTCCCAATGGGTTCCTCTCTCCATGGAGACCCTTGAATGGAGTCAATGGGAGATGCCCCATTCCCAATGGGTTCCTTGCTCCATGGTGGCATCAGAATGGAGTCAATGGGAGATGCCCCATTCCCAATGGGTTCCTTGCTCCATGGAGCCCCTTGAATGGGGTCAATGGAAGATGCCCCATTCCCAATGGGTTCCTTGCTCCATGGAGCCCCTTGAATGGAGTCAATGGAAGATGCCCCATTCCCAATGTGATCCTTGCTCCATGGAGCCCCTTGAATGGAGTCAATGGGAGATGCCCCATTCCCAATGGGTTCCTCTCTCCATGGAGCCCCTTGAATGGGGTCAATGGAAGATGCCCCATTCCCAATGGGTTCCTCTCCATGGAGCCCCTTGAATGGAGTCAATGGAAGATGCCCCATTCCCAATGGGTTCCTCTCTCCATGGAGCCCCTTGAATGGAGTCAATGGAAGATGCCCCATTCCCAATGGGTTCCTCTCTCCATGGAGACCCTTGAATGGAGTCAATGGGAGATGCCCCATTCCCAATGGGTTCCTTGCTCCATGGTGGCATCAGAATGGAGTCAATGGGAGATGCCCCATTCCCAATGGGTTCCTCGCTCCATCGAGACCCTTGAATGGAGTCAATGGGTGATGCCCCATTCCCAATGGGAGCCTTGCTCCATGGTGGCATCAGAACGGCATCAATGGAAGATGCCCCATTCCCAATGGGTTCCTTGCTCCATGGAGACCCTTGAATGGAGTCAATGGAAGATGCCCCATTCCCAATGGGTTCCTCTCTCCATAGTGACATCACAATGGATTCAATGGGCGATTCCCCATTGGAACCTCCATTGGAATCCCCTTTATGTCCCCCCCCCCCCCCAACCCCAACCCCATTGCAGCACCAACGACGACGAGGACCTGACCCCGGAGCAGAAAGCCGAGCGGGAGAAGGAACGGCGCATGGCCAACAACGCCCGCGAGCGCCTCCGCGTGCGGGACATCAACGAGGCCTTCAAGGAGCTGGGCCGCATGGTGCAGCTGCATCTCAAGAGCGACAAGCCCCAAACCAAGCTGCTCATCCTGCACCAGGCCGTGGCCGTCATCCTCAGCCTGGAGCAGCAAGTGAGGGGTGAGTTGTGGGTTGGGTTGGGTTGGGTTGGGTTGGGTTGGGTTGGGTAGGGTTGGGTTGGGTTGGGTTGGGTTGGGTTGAGTTGGGTTGGGTTGGGTTGGGTTGGGTTGAGTTGGGTTGAGTTGGGTTGGGTTGGGTTGGGTTGAGCTGGGTTGGGTTGAGTTGGGTTGGGTTGGGTTGAGTTGGGTTGAGTTGGGTTGGGTTGAGTTGGGTTGGGTTGAGTTGGGTTGGGTTGAGTTGTGTTGAGTTGGGTTGGGTTGGGTTGAGTTGGGTTGGGTTGGGTTGGGTTGAGTTGGGTTGGGTTGAGTTGGGTTGGGTTGGGTTGGGTTGGGTTGGGTTGGGTTGGGTTGAGTTGGGTTGGGTTGGGTTGGGTTGGGATGGTTTGAGTTGGGTTGAGTTGGGTTGGGTTGAGTTGAGTTGGGTTGGGTTGGGTTGGGTTGGGTTGGGTTGAGTTGGGTTGGGTTGGGTTGGGTTGGGATGGTTTGAGTTGGGTTGAGTTGGGTTGGGTTGGGTTGAGTTGGGTTGGGTTGGGTTGAGTTGGGTTGGGTTGAGTTGGGTTGCGTTGAGTTGCGTTGGGTTGGGTTGGGTTGGGTTGGGTTGGGTTGGGTTGCGTTGAGTTGGGTTGGGTTGGGTTGAGTTGGGTTGGGTTGGGTTGGGTTGAGTTGGGTTGAGTTGGGTTGGGTTGAGTTGGGTTGGGTTGGGTTGAGTTGGATTGGGTTGGGTTGGGTTGAGTTGTGTTGGGTTGAGTTGGGTTGGGTTTGGTTGAGCTGGGTTGGGTTGAGTTGGGTTGGGTTGGGTTGAGTTGGGTTGAGTTGGGTTGAGGGTTGGGTTGGGTTGAGTTGGGTTGTGTTGAGTTGGGTTAAGTTGGGTTGGGTTGGGTTGGGATGGTTTGAGTTGGTTGAGTTGGGTTGGGTTGAGTTGGGTTGGGTTGGGTTGGGTTGTGTTGGGTTGGGTTGAGTTGGGTTGAGTTGGGTTGGGTTGAGTTGGGTTGGGTTGAGTTGTGTTGAGTTGGGTTGGGTTGGGTTGAGTTGGGTTGGGTTGGGTTGGGTTGAGTTGGGTTGGGTTGAGTTGGGTTGTGTTGGGTTGGGTTGGGTGGGTTGGGTTGGGTTGGGTTGAGTTGGGTTGGGTTGGGTTGGGTTGGGGTTGTTGAGTTGGGTTGGTGGAGTTGGGTTGGGTTGAGTTGGGTTGGGTTGGGTTGGGTTGGGTTGGGTGGTTGAGTTGGGTTGGGTTGGGTTGGGTTGGGATGGTTTGAGATTGAGTTGGGTTGGGTTGGGTTGGGTTGGTTGGGTTGGGTTGGGTTGTTGGTTGGGTTGAGTTGGGTTGCGTTGAGTTGCGTTGGGTTGGGTTGAGTTGGGTTGAGTTGGTTGGTTGGGTTGAGTTGGGTTGGTTGGTTGGGTTGGGTTGGGTTGGGTTGGGTTGGGTTGGGATGGTTTGAGTTGGGTTGAGTTGGGTTGGGTTGGGTTGGGTTGAGTTGGGTTGGGTTGAGTTGGGTTGAGTTGGGTTGGGTTGGGTTGAGTTGGGTTGGGTTGGGTTGAGTTGGGTTGGGTTGGGTTGGGGTTCGTTGATGGGTGGATGTTGGTCGTCTGTTGGCCAGCATCAGGCATTCATCGTGCATCATCGTCCATCCGTGATCCATCCGTGATCATCCATTCACCTTCCATTCATCTTGTATCATCCCTTCTCCATCATCCATCCATCCATTATCATCCATCCCCAATCCATTCATCTTCATCCATGCATCATCATCCCTTATCCATCATCCATCCATCATCCATCATCCATCCCTTATCCATCATCATCCATCATCATCCATCCCTTATCCATCATCCATCCATCACCATCCAGCCATCATCCATCCATCATCCATCCATCCACCATCATCCATCCATCATCATCCCTTATCCACCATCCATCCATCATCCATCTATCCATCATCATCCATCCATCATCATCCATCCATCATCCATCCACCATCATCCATCCATCATCCATCCATCATCCATCCATCATCATCCACCCCCCATCCCACCCATTCCCTACGGAACCCCCTTCCCCCCCGCCGTAGCGATGCCTTTCACCCCCCCTTTCCCCTTCCATCCCACCAGAGAGGAACCTGAATCCCAAGGCGGCGTGCCTGAAGAGACGGGAAGAAGAGAAGGTCTCCTCGGATCCGCCTCCGCTCTCCTTGGCGGGGCCCCATCCCGGCATGGGAGATGCTTCCAATCACATGGGACAGATGTAAAAAGGCAAGGCTGGGGGTCGGGTATCCATGTTTCCGTCCGTGTGTCCGTCAGCATCCAGCATCAGTATCCATCCATCATCCATCCATCATCCATCATCCATCAGCATCCATCCATCAGCATCCATCAGCATCCATCAGCATCCATCAGCATCCATCAGCATCCATCATCCATCAGCATCCATCATCATCCATCATCATCATCCATCCATCATCATCCATCCATCATCATCCATCCATCATCCATCGTACATCATCATCACCATCATCCATCAGCATCATCCATCATCATCCATCATCATCATCCATCAGCATCCATCATCATCATCCATCCATCCATCAGCATCCATCCATCATCATCCATCATCACCATCACCATCATCATCCATCCATCCATCCATCCATCAGCATCCATCATCCATCCATCCATCCATCAGCATCCATCCATCATCATCCATCATCATCATCCATCCATCATCCATCAGCATCCATCATCATCATCCATCATCATCCATCCATCCATCAGCATCCATCATCACCATCATCATCCATCATCATCCATCCATCATCATCCATCCATCATCCATCAGCATCATCCATCCATCATCCATCAGCATCCATCAGCATCCATCATCCATCACCATCCATCATCATCATCCATCATCATCACCATCATCATCCATCTATTATCATCATCCATCATCATCCATCATCATCACCATCATCATCATCCATCCATCATCATCCATCATCATCCATCATCCATCATCATCATCCATCATCATCCATCCATCATCATCCATCATCATCCATCCATCAGCATCCATCCATCAGCATCCATCAGCATCCATCAGCATCCATCCATCCATCAGCATCCATCCATCCATCATCCATCATCATCATCCATTATCCATCCTCATCATCATCATCACCATCATCATCCATCATCATCCATCATGCATCAGCACCCATCATCATCATCCATCATCATCCATCCATCAGCATCCATCCATCAGCATCCATCAGCATCCATCCATCAGCATCCATCCATCAGCATCCATCCATCAGCATCCATCAGCATCCATCAGCATCCATCCCTTATCCATCATCATCCATCATCCATCAGCATCCATCCATCATCATCCATCCATCCATCATCCATCATCCATCATCATCATCATCATCACCATCATCACCATCATCATCCATCATCATCATCATCATCCATCTGCATCCATCATCATCCATCCATCCATCATCATCATCATCATCCATCATCATCCATCATGCATCAGCATCCATCCATCATCATCCATCCATCATCCATCATCATCCATCATCATCACCCATCATCATCCATCATCACCATCATCATCATCCATCCATCATCATCCATCATCATCCATCCATCCATCCATCATCACGATCATCCATCATCATCATCATCCATCATCCATCATCATCATCATCACCATCATCATCCTCCTCCCCCCTTGCTCTCTCCCCCTAACCCCTTCCCTTCTCCCCCTAGGTCCACCTTGCCCCACAGAAGCAAGAACCCACTTCCTTAAGAGCTGTATCCCCCATTCCCCCATCCCCTGCCCCACATCCCCCCCCCCAACTTCCCCCTTCCCCAGCCCCACGGACGCCCGCCGGGCCGGCATTCCCGACGCTTGGAATGCCGACGCTCCTGCCCCACGGCGGAAGACTTCACCCATGGTGGGCACGAGGAGATGTGGGGTGTGTGTGTATGGGGTGGGAGGGGGGGACACCCCCAAACCCCCTGACCCCCAACTTTTACCCCCCTTTAACCTTAATGCAGCTCTCTTTTTTGCGCTGTGCCTCAAATCCCAGAGCATTCCGGGCTGGAAAAATAATGGAATGGGGAGGGGTGAAAAAAAACCTGGGAATATTCCATGGGAATTGGGGGAGGGGGGGGGACACCCAAAAAAAAAGATGGAAAACCCTTGGAATTTTGCAATAATGACCAAGTGTACTTCAGATAAAAGACCCCCCCCCCTTCCCTTTCCCATCCGAAATTCCCGATTCCTTGGATCCGGAGCATCCTTCCCCTAATCCCGCCCCGTTCCCGCCTCGCCCTTCCCATTGGATGCTGCTGGCGAGGAGGCGGGGAGCTCCTCCAATGGACATAGAGAGAGATGCAGAGGGGAGAGCCGATGGGAATACCGGGATCACTGCATGGATTGGGAATGCTGGGCTCCTCCGTGCTCCCCCCCCCCCCCTCTGTTTTCCATAGGGAAAAGGGGCATTTTCCATGCTTTCCATAGGGGAAACAAGGGGGGGGGGGGGGGTATATCCCAATTTTTCCCCTTTCTCCCCTTTTCTTGGGAATGGATCCCATGGGATTTAAGGTGTCCCCCCCCCCATTCCCATCCCAACCTTAACCGCTGTGCCTTCCGATGTCCCCATTGAAGCAGGAAGAGGAGGGGGATGCTGCTGAGAGCATTCCCATTGGGATCAAGGGAAACCTTGGGAATACCGGATGGGATTTGGGGCTGGGCCCCCTTCCTCCTTCCTTCTTCCTCTTCCCCTCCAAGCCTTAGCTGCGTCCCTTGCACTCAATGGAAAAGGTGGGGGGGGGGGTTGGAACGGCATTCCCGAGCTCTGGAATCATCGCATCCCGGCATTCCCATCATTTCATTGCCTGCTGGGCATGGGAATGGGATTGGGATTGGGAATGGGATTGGTTTTGCGGCCCCAAACCCCTTGGAACGCCGCCGGCATCCCATGGGAAGCCAAGAGCTCCATCCGCATCCAGCCTTTTCCAAGAGGGAATTCCATGGGAAACCACCCGGGATGAGGCCGAAGGAGAGCCCTGAAGAGGGGAATAAGCAAGGATTCCCCATGGGAATGGCCTGCGGGAAGCACCAGCAGCCATCCCAAAGGAAAGCTTGGGATAAAGGGCCGGAATTCCAATGGGAAAAATTCCCCCCCCCCCTCCTCCCTTCTTCCTTCTCCATCCTTTGGGATTTGCCTCCAGGCTTTGCCCATCTGAATTCCCAAGGCTTGGAGCAGGGATGGGTCGGGAATCAATCAGTGCCTCCCACTCCTATTGGCTGAGGGCTAGGACCCAGCATCCCTTGGGATGCGCTGTGGGATGGATTGGAATCAATCAGTGCTTCCCACTCCTATTGGCTGAGGGCTAGGACCCAGCATCCCTTGGGATGCACTGTGGGATGGACCAGGGATCAATCAGTGCTTCCCACTCCTATTGGCTGAGGAATAGGACATCAGATCCCTTGGGATGCATTCCGGAAGCAGGGATGGATTGGGAATCAATCAGTGCTTCCCACTCCTATTGGCTGAGGGCTAGGACCCAGCATCCCTTGGGATGCGCTGTGGGATGGATCGGGAATCAATCAGTGCTTCCCACTCCTATTGGCTGAGGGCTAGGACCCAGCATCCCTTGGGATGCGCTGTGGGATGGATCGGGATCAATCAGTGCTTCCCACTCCTATTGGTTGAGGCCTAGGACATCAGATCCCTTGGGATGCATTCCGGAAGCAGGGATGGACCAGGAATCAATCAGTGCCTCCCACTCCTATTGGCTGAGGGCTAGGACCCAGCATCCCTTGGGATGCATTCTGGGATGGACCAGGGATCAATCAGTGCTTCCCACTCCCATTGGCTGAGGAATAGGACATCAGATCCCTTGGGATGCATTCCGGAAGCAGGGATGGATTGGGAATCAATCAGTGCCTCCCGCTCCTATTGGCTGAGGGCTAGGACCCAGCATCCCTTGGGATGCGCTGTGGGATGGACCAGGGATCAATCAGTGCTTCCCACTCCTATTGGCTGAGGAATAGGACATCAGATCCCTTGGGATGCATTCCGGAAGCAGGGATGGATTGGGAATCAATCAGTGCCTCCCACTCCTATTGGCTGAGGGCTAGGACCCAGCATCCCTTGGGATGCATTCTGGGATGGATTGGAATCAATCAGTGCTTCCCACTCCTATTGGCTGAGCGCTAGGACATCAGATCCCTTGGGATGCATTCCGGAAGCAGGGATGGATTGGGAATCAATCAGTGCTTCCCACTCCTATTGGCTGATGGCTAGGACCCAGCATCCCTTGGGATGCGCTGTGGGATGGACCAGGGATCAATCAGTGCTTCCCACTCCCATTGGCTGAGGAATAGGACATCAGATCCCTTGGGATGCATTCCGGAAGCAGGGATGGACCAGGAATCAATCAGTGCCTCCCACTCCTATTGGCTGAGGAATAGGACATCAGATCCCTTGGGATGCATTCCGGAAGCAGGGATGGATTGGGAATCAATCAGTGCCTCCCGCTCCTATTGGCTGAGGGCTAGGACCCAGCATCCCTTGGGATGCGCTGTGGGATGGATTGGAATCAATCAGTGCTTCCCACTCCTATTGGCTGAGGAATAGGACATCAGATCCCTTGGGATGCATTCCGGAAGCAGGGATGGACCAGGAATCAATCAGTGCTTCCCACTCCTATTGGCTGAGCGCTAGGACCCAGCATCCCTTGGGATGCATTCCGGGATGGATTGGGATCAATCAGTGCTTCCCACTCCTATTGGCTGAGGAATAGGACCCAGCATCCCTTGGGATGCATTCCGGGATGGATTGGGAATCAATCAGTGCTTCCCACTCCTATTGGGAAGCCCAAGAAGAGCCCCCCCCAAAAAAATGAAGCCTTTTTTACCCAAAACTGCCTTTTTTTGACCCAGGAATGACGGTGGCAAAGAATTCCCGTTTTTTTTTCCTTGGAAAAACGCCCGAATCCCGAAAAATTCCCCCTTTATTTTGCTATTCCCGACAGAAAGAGAGGTTATTTTCCCATGGGGTTTAGGGAAAGAGGGGAGGGGGTGTTGGGGGGGGGGGAAACGGCCCTGAAATCCATGGAAAAATCATGGAAAAGCGTGGAAAAAGCATGGAAAACCATGGGAAAAGCATGGAAAAACCAGAGGAAACGGTGGAAAATCGTGGAAAATCCAATCGAAACTTGAAGGAGGGGGGGGA